TTGTGTTTTATTAGGAGACGCACAACAGTTCTTCTGTGGCTTTATAGTTAATATTTTCACCTACACAATTTAGCAAAATCAGACAATATTGTGTCTAATATGTACCAAAATATTAACTTCTTATTATTGAATTGTTGTAAATAAATAAATGCAACTGGTCAGTGTTCAAAAAATGCTGGTAAATCATTTCATGTAGCCCCAAGAGTGATTACTGATAAAATGTCTGAAACAAAGAAAGTCAAGTTTTAGAGAAAAAAAATCACCCACTGACTTTCAAAGCTGCTACATAGTAACGACTTTCTACTTCGAGGACCTTGATAGAAATGTAGTGGAGTGAACAATACAATATTTTATACAATATAGACAATACAATACAAAATACAAAGAAGTACAATATTTGTCTTTCAAATGTAGTGAAGTTAAAGTCATAAGTTCCCAGAAAAAATAATACTCAAGTAAAGTACCGATACTCAAAAAGTGTACTTAAGTACAATACTCAAGTAAATGTACTTAATTACTGTCCGCCTCTGCTGTCAGTTAATGTACATATGGCAGATATGTACGGAAAAATCAATTAAAGACGTAATCAAACACGAACACCATTAACAGCAATTATTATATGATGCAATCAAACTTATAGCAAAATGTGGTAGTTCTGTAAGTTGTTTCAGGGTTTGCATCATCTGAGGTCCTCTGAGGGGTTGGCATCATCTCTTCTCAGGTGTTCTGGATCCAGACTGAAGCTTGTGTAAATCCTAGTTATGGCAAAAACAGAGAAACAAATAGAGACATAATTAGCATAGCTGCTGTTCCAACCAAGCAAAATTGATTTGTTAATAATATGAATAATATCAAAAGTTTTGGGAGTCAGCTGTCCACGGCAGTCTTAAACCTACCAAGGTACCAGCACAATAACATGCTCAGCAAAATATTGTCTAATTATCATTGACAAAATTCCAGAAAATATCGAGATATAATTTTTTGTCATAATCGCACACCCCTAGTTTGAAGTTTAAATCCATGACAATATGCTGGAAATGTGTGCATGTTGTTTTACCCTACAGGTGCCAATCTGGAAGATCCATGCTGCTATGGTCACACACAGTTTCACATGGTCCCCGATAGGTTCCGCAGGGACAAAATGAGCAAGAGAGGTCTCTCTGATCAGGTCGAGGTGTCACTGAGAGCCAACGGTATTGCCAGCCTGTTTGCATGGACAGGGGCGCAGGCTATGTATCAAGGTTAGTGTTTCTGTAAACTTTGGATTTTTTTTTAAATAGTGGCAGAATTGTCCTGAGGTCAGGTTAAGAGCGCATTTCTATTGAATTGATCCATTGTTTTCACAATTGTAGGACACTTGACATGCATCAACATGCATGCTTTCTTAAAAACTCGATATGTTTTGATCTGCCCAGGTTTTTGGAGTGAAGAGGACGTGAGTAGGCCATTTGTGTCTCAGGCTGTCATCACAGATGGGCAGTTCTTCTAATTTTTCTGCTATCAGCTCAATACTCTGGCTTTGAGTCCAAGGGCTGATGGCAACAATAGCAGGAAAAACTTCTGCTGGGGCACAGAAAGCATGCGTCTGTGTGAGGGAATCACAGACGGAGACATTGTGGGCTTGAATGATGCCGTTCTTAAACTGCTGCTGCAGTTTTTATTGAACAAACCACAGTTTTGAAAATGCTGAAGTACAGAAAATATTATATGATTGTTCTGCATGTCAATAAACAATATATGGAGCTGCATGTTATTTTTGTCTTCATTTAAGTTTAAGAACTTGTGTTTAAAGAAGTTTTTGTTTTGTATTTAAGTGCCCAAAATAGAACTGAAAATTAAAAGATTACACATTGTTGAAGAATCAAATCAGTCATATTTGTATTTAAAGGAATCGGCCAAAAATGAAAATTGTCATTTACTCACCCTCATGTCATTCCAAACCCATAAGACTTTTGTTCATCTTTGAAACGCAAATGAAGACCATTTTTTAGCTTTGCTCTTTCTGTTCCTCAATTGAAAGTCCAAGCAACTGAAAGCTTTCACACATCACAAAGTACAAAAAGATATCGTAAAAGTAATTTGCATGAATCAAGCAGTTTGATCCAAGTCTTCGGAAGAGATACGATTGCTTTTTATGTGTGAAAAACCTCATTGGTTTTCGTGCGTCAAGCGAAGTTGAACTTCCTTTGACCTTTGTGTGCGTGTTGATCAATGTTTATAAATGAATATAAGCAGAAATTAAAACTGCATTATATGAAGCGACTTAATCCTTTAATAAAGCCTTCAGAAAATAATCAGTTTTATCTTTAGTTGACCTTTATTATTAAATTGACTTTCAAAAGGTCATATGAACACTTAAACCTTTAGCAATAACACTGTATTGAAGATTATGTAAACATGCCTTATATGTTTATGATGTTACATTGAGAACGTAATTATATATACTGTATATATATAATGTAATATAATATATATGTTTATATATATGGCTGTGACAGAATTAGTTTAGGCAAAAAACATTGCTTATTGCTTTATGTGATTCAAGCCACATGACATAATCACACTCTTTTTTACCATCTGTTAAAATGAAAAGGTCAGTGCTCCAGTTTTCTTTGTCTTGCTGTGTTGTTCTGCACTCCATTGCTCTCATCACGAGTGCTAGAAAAAACATTAGCACCATCACTGCCAATGTCTGAAAAACCTTCAAGCAAGTGTAACAATTTTTACGAAATATATTCAGTGAATCTTTAAAATCATATGAACTGATCTGAACACTTACAGTTTGCTGGTTTGTTCAGAGCAGACATCATTCTCTGCAAATGGATAAATCCTTTGTTAATTTTCAATGGTGACAGATCTAAATATGCATGATTATTCCTCTTATTCATTAAAGTTTACTGTACCTCCTGCAAAAGAGTTGTCATGTTGCGGCTTGTTGCATTTTTCCCAAAGCAAAATCAGTGTGACCAGGACAATGACTTCAACCACTATGGCAATGAAGGGTTTGAGAGGCTCAGTATATGACAAGACCTTCAGCTCAACGTAAGACTCACTGGGTTTGATATCAAACTCAGCGCTGCATATGTACTTTCCAGAATCTTCTTCAGTCAGATTCAGTACAGTCAGTTTTGTTTCATTTCCATTAATAAAGATCTTGTAGTTCAGAGGGTTTGCAGTAACATTGATGAGTCCCTGTGAAGAGAAAAAACACTGATATGAACAGTGTTGTTATTGTTAAAAGTACAACTATTAAAAATAATTTTGAGTAAATTAAATTATAAATTATATTAGCTGGAAAAAAAAACTAACAAAACATTACTAATTACTAGAACTACAAAATAAAAGCTATATTACTATCAATAAATACTTTAAAATAACACTGGATATGAATAACCACTTTATTGTGAGGTATTTAAGTATAATCAATCCCATATTCCTCATTTCTCATTCACCTTTTCAGTGTTGTTTGCCTTGTACCAGTTCCAGGTGTTCGGTGTGTGCTTGAGTTTACATTCAAGTACAACTGAATCTCCGGTGTAGCTCACTACCGGCTTGTCTCTTTTGTCTTTTATTACAGGAACTTGAGAAAAAAAGCAAAATACATCAGGTTAATGTAAATCAAAATGATGAATATGATTGTATAAACCATTTAAAACAACACAATGTGTACATAAAATGACAACATACCAACTAAAACAAATGTTACTTGTGCCTCATTTTCTCTGAACATGCAGGAATAGTTCCCCAGGTCTCTGGCCTGTATACTGAAACTATGAAAAAGCCAAGGTTAAACTATGAAAAAGGTTAAACAACTTAAAGCAGTGTTAAGTCATTGTTTAGTAATACTGAATAGCTTATTTACTTCTATAACGTCTGATTTGCATTTTTTTTTACATTTATTAGAAATGACATGATTATTTTCTGAAATAAACAACCACTTACGTCCTTTTAATGATATACTGTTCATTGTTTCTATTTACAGTTTCTTCAGAGTTTTCAATTTCTTGTCCATCTTTAGTCCAATAGCCAGTAATGTACGGAGGGTTATTTGGTATATCAATTAGGTTACATAAAAGCTCTATATATTGGGGTGTCAGGATTGCAAGCTCTTCAATAATGACTTGATTTTGACCTGTATTCCAAGAAATTGTAGCCCAATCAGCAAAACAAACCTCTGCAATTATGTACAATTCAATGTATTGTCTCTAGCAAATTAAGCTATTTTTGACCATCTTATTACAAAATCATAAATTCACATTTTAAAAGAATAAATTTATCAAAGTTTCTACGTTTGGAGAAACGTAGCATTATATCACTTGCTCATCAATGGATCCTCTGCAGTGAATGGGTGCCGTCAGAATAATAGTCCAAACTGCTGATAAAAACAGCACAATAATCCACACGCCAAGTAATCCACACAACTCCAGTCTCTCTATTAATGTTTTATGAAGTGCAAAGCTGCTGTTTGTAAGAAACAAATCCATTATTAAGGGGTTTTAACTTCATATCGTCGCTTCTGGCTAAAATACGACTCCTCTATCTATAATAACGCTTCTTCCAGTGGAAAATCTCCTGTCGTCTTCTCACATCAAAATCCACCAACGTATTTGTTTAGATCGGTTTTAAACTGTTTTTGCTAGTAAACGGTCCTTGATCTGTACGATGAGAGGACTTTTTCAATGGAAAAATCAATATGGATAGAGGACTCATATTTTAGCCAGAAGCAACAGTTTAAAGTAAAAAACATCTTAATGATGGATTTGTTTATTATAAACATGCAAGTTTTCACTTCACAAGATGTTAACTGATGGGCTGGAGTAGTGTGGATTACATGTGAATTATTGTGATGTTTTTATCAGCTGTCTTGACTCTCGTTCTGACGGCACCCATTCACTGCAGAGGTTGATACATTGATGATCAAGTGATGCAATAATAAATTTCTCCAAATCTGTTCTGATGAAGAAACAAACTCAGCTACATCTTAGATGGCCTGAAGGTGAGTAAATTTTCAGCAAATGTTCATTTTTGGTTAACTATTCATGTAATAATGTGTACACGTATAAATAATGTCAAATGCATACTTGTGGCTAATAAGATATTACAGGGTAACCATACCTTTGGATACAGCTTTCTGTGTTGTAATTACAGGAACAGACTGTGGGGAATGGGATGTTTCTAAAAAAAAAAAAAAGAAGAAGAAGAAAATAAAAAAAAGACATGCCATATGACTTTGCACTGAATAAACAACACTACCAACTCAACATTCTGCTAAAGAGACCGGCCTAGTCAAGGTTAAAACTCGCATAATATTTAAAAACATCAAGGAATTATTTTACAATTATTTAGAATAATTTTACAGTTACTTAACCATCTCCTAGAAACATTGGAAAAACCAACAGATCAGGTGATTTAAATTCAGACTAAATGATATCAAGGTCATAATATCAAAGCTTGAAAAACAACAACAACAAGGCCCCAGAAATGTTGCGCTACATTAAAAAGCAGACATGCACATACCTGTGTTCATCCCATCACAGTAGAGGAGAAGTAAGGTGAGATGTATGACATTAGCCATGGAGAAGAGTGCTCTTTCCCCGCAGCTGTGCTGTGTGTGGCTAGGGCTCTGGTGCGTCTTTTTCAGAAGCAGGTCCCCAGAGACACCAACACCCCTCCCTTCTCCTCTCTTACTGCAGCCATGGTGACTTGGCAGTACTGGTGTCTGCTTGCAGCTAACTGTTTTAAATTAATCACGAGTGTTAGGAGGCGGCCACAGCCCTGACTGATCAAATGATTGGAAAGCACGCTCTATTGAGATGGCGCAGATACAGTGACCAGCGCTGGCACAACGCAGTGTTTGACAACTTACAATTCGCACCTCACAAATGTGGACGTAGTTATAAGTGTAGCCTTTTATTTCTTTTATGGGCCGTTCAGGTGTTGTGAAAAGTAGTCAGTACTAGAGGATCGTATTACTGTCTGTTTGCTCACGTGCATCAGTCGGAGTGTAAACAGTGAGAGATCTTCAAGGGGTCATATGATGCGATTTCATTTTTTCCTTTCTCTTTGGAGTGTTACAAGCTGTTTGTGAATAGATAA